GGACTCTAAAACAGAAAAAAATGGATGCCTTTGAAATGTAAATATACAGAAGAATTAATTATTATTTATAACTGGGAATAAGCCACATTAAAGATAAAAATACATTTATTGACGTTTCAATTTCCAATTCGGAAATCGTTCTCAAAATACAAATAGTAAATTAAACAAATTTTGTTTTTTTGTTACATAGTGAAAAAATTCTTCTGATAATTTAATTTTATCTGACTCATTTATATTGACAATTCAGACATACATTATGCATTTTAAAGAAGACGACTTTAAAATGATATTGCCAATATTGTTGAGTTGCGCTCCTGGGACGACTTTACTTATAAGATAGTTCATTCGATTACATGAAATCAACTTTAACTTGAGAATATCCGTCAGAAAAAATCATAGCATGTAATTCGTCTTTAAAAAGACAAACACATGACATGATGACAGTAAAATTCTCCTGTTAGTGATTCCATAGTAAATTATGAGGGAAAAACCAGGAAAAAAACCTCATAATACTATCCCGACATTGTAAGTATTTGTTCGTGAATTTAGTTTACCTTCAACAAACATCAAAATTCTGATTTTATGTTACGTTATTTAAAAAACATAAATGATGTATCCTCTATAATATGTTACTGACTTACTAATACTGGTATTTTCTTATTAATAACTTCCTCTTTCAATATTGGTAACCAGATCCTACTACATTCTGCCTCATTTAGCATAATTAGAGCCGCTTCTTTGATTTTTCTTTTTTTACCATCCGTTTCTTTTAGGACTATATTTGAATTATTCCATTGAACTCTATGTTCATTATCCCATGCGTGTTTACATATTTGAGATCTATCAAATTCTCTATTTTTAATATAAGATTGATGTTCACTTATTCTAACATTTAGTGGCCTTGATGATTCACCTAAATAAAACTGATCGCATTCACAAGGTATTTTATAAATGCAATTCTTTGTCCTTTCTTGTTCATTGTTAGGTTTGGTTTTGGACAAAATAGATCTCAACGTGTTTGTTGTTTTGAATGTTGTTGAAATGTTGAATTTATTTCCTATCCTTTTAAGTTTTTCTGATAATCCTTTTATGTACGGTATTGTTATTTTCCTCATATTATTCCTTGTGTATGCTGTAGGATCTCGTTCTAAGTTGTTCTGTTCTATTCGATCGATTGTTGAAAATTCCTTATTTATAAACGATAAAGGATAATCATTTTTTAATAAAACAGATGTTAACAAATGTTTCTCCTCCAAGAACGAATTTTCGTTAGAACAAGTAATTTTGGCTCTATCGTATAAGGATTTAATTATTCCCTTTTTTACATTAATATTGTGATTTGATTTGAAATTTAAATATCTATTGGTGTGTGTTGGTTTTCTATACACCTGAGTCTCATATCCAGTATCGTTCTTAGAGATCAAAACATCCAGGAAAGGTAGCGTGTTATTATATTCCTTTTCCATGGTAAATGTTATATAAAAGGAATATAATAACACGCTACCTTTCCTGGATGTTTTGATCTCTAAGAACGATACTGGATATGAGACTCAGGTGTATAGAAAACCAACACACACCAATAGATATTTAAATTTCAAATCAAACCACAATATTAATGTAAAAAAGGGAATAATTAAATCCTTATACGATAGAGCCAAAATTACTTGTTCTAACGAAAATTCGTTCTTGGAGGAGAAACATTTGTTAACATCTGTTTTATTAAAAAATGATTATCCTTTATCGTTTATAAATAAGGAATTTTCAACAATCGATCGAATAGAACAGAACAACTTAGAACGAGATCCTACAGCATACACAAGGAATAATATGAGGAAAATAACAATACCGTACATAAAAGGATTATCAGAAAAACTTAAAAGGATAGGAAATAAATTCAACATTTCAACAACATTCAAAACAACAAACACGTTGAGATCTATTTTGTCCAAAACCAAACCTAACAATGAACAAGAAAGGACAAAGAATTGCATTTATAAAATACCTTGTGAATGCGATCAGTTTTATTTAGGTGAATCATCAAGGCCATTAAATGTTAGAATAAGTGAACATCAATCTTATATTAAAAATAGAGAATTTGATAGATCTCAAATATGTAAACACGCATGGGATAATGAACATAGAGTTCAATGGAATAATTCAAATATAGTCCTAAAAGAAACGGATGGTAAAAAAAGAAAAATCAAAGAAGCGGCTCTAATTATGCTAAATGAGGCCAATTGTGTCGCAAATTCCTCGGCAGAATGTAGTAGGATCTGGTTACCAATATTGAAAGAGGAAGTTATTAATAAGAAAATACCAGTATTAATAAGTCAGTAACATATTATAGAGGATACATCATTTATGTTTTTTAAATAACGTAACATAAAATCAGAATTTTGATGTTTGTTGAAGGTAAACTAAATTCACGAACAAATACTTACAATGTCGGGATAGTATTATGAGGTTTTTTTCCTGGTTTTTCCCTCATAATTTACTATGGAATCACTAACAGGAGAATTTTACTGTCATCATGTCATGTGTTTGTCTTTTTAAAGACGAATTACATGCTATGATTTTTTCTGACGGATATTCTCAAGTTAAAGTTGATTTCATGTAATCGAATGAACTATCTTATAAGTAAAGTCGTCCCAGGAGCGCAACTCAACAATATTGGCAATATCATTTTAAAGTCGTCTACTTTAAAATGCATAATGTATGTCTGAATTGTCAATATAAATGAGTCAGATAAAATTAAATTATCAGAAGAATTTTTTCACTATGTAACAAAAAACAAAATTTGTTTAATTTACTATTTGTATTTTGAGAACGATTTCCGAATTGGAAATTGAAACGTCAATAAATGTATTTTTATCTTTAATGTGGCTTATTCCCAGTTATAAATAATAATTAATTTACAATGCCACAAGAAAATAGCTTCAGAACAATATACAGAAGAATGCTGAAAATTTCATGGATACAAAAAGTTACCAACGGTGAGGTACTTCGGTGCATGAGTAAACAAAGAGAATTACTCAGCATAATCAAAGAAAGGAAAATACAATACTTGCGTCATGTATTGAGAGGTGAAAAATATGAATTATTCCAAATCATATTGGAAGGTAAAGTGAAGGGCAGAAGATCATTTGAAAGACATCAGAACTCGTGGGTTGCCAACCTTCGAAAAAGGACGGCGCAATAAGAAGAAGAAGAAAGACATACAAACGACTTAATACATATCTCGCTAAAAATCATCTAATAAGAGAACTCTTCAACCAATCAGTAGAAAGAAAAATAAATATGGTCGGAAGATTTACAGTAAACCATTGAGGGATAGTACCTAAGTCAAGCCCTTCCTCTTATATAAAATTGCAATAAATAAATAAATGGATAGATATAATTCCTTAATAAAACGGTTAACGACATAAAAATCAATTTTATGAAGAACGAAAAAGGTAAGAATAAGACATGGATGACGACAGAGATTCTGCAGCTGATGCAAGAAAGAAGGAAAAACAAGAACAATAACTCTATGTATAAAACGTTATAACGAGATATATAGAAAAATATCAGAGAAGCCAAACAGAAAGAACTGGAGAAAAAATGCCAAGAATTCGAAATTCTACAAAGTAAATACGACGACTTCAACGTGCATAAAAAGGTAAGAGAAATTATAGGCAAACGTAAAAACAGAAGAGTAAGTAAACTTGTTCATGACAACGGAGAGACAATACCTGAAAAATTACATACGAAATTTATTTTTTGATCACCCGTCCTCAATACCTACGAAACAGGACCTCCTATACTAGTGACAGAAATAAGAGCAGCCATAATATCACTAAAAGAAGGGAGAGCTCCAGGACCAAACGGAGTACAGTCTGAATTCCTTAAACTTCTTGATGATAAATCTTTAAGAATACTATGTCAAATCTTCAATAATATTTATAATACAGGAGTATTCCAAAAGATTGGTTAGTTTTAGAATTTCTTACGTTACCAAAGAAACAGTGAGCGAAAAAGTGCGGAGAATATAGGCTAATAAGTCTAATCAGTCATACACTAAAACTTTTAAAAAATTATACATCGCAGAATATATAAACTATGCGAAGGGCGAATACAAAACACACAGTTATAAATAATAATTAATTTACAATGCCACAAGAAAATAGCTTCAGAACAATACAAAACACACAGTTTGGATTCATGGAAGGCGTAGGTACGAGAGATGCACTGTTTAGTCTACAGGTATTATTCCAAAAATGCAGAGACATGACTTGCGATATCTACACCGGCTTTGTGGACTACCAAAAAGCATTTGACACAGTTCAACAACGAAAAATAATGGATGTTCTAACAAAAGCCCAAATAGATGATAAAGACCGGCGTATACAACAAAATTTATACTGGAACCAATCAGCCACAATAAGAACAAATCTTGGAGATGAACCGACGGAAGCGATCCAGATTCTAAAAGGTGTTAGACAAGGATGTATACTTTCACCTATATTATTCAACCGATATTCAGAGGAAATATTTAGTGAAGCCTTGGAAAATTGCGAACATGGAATCCTTTTAAATGAAGAACGCCTAAACAAAATCCGCTATGCAGATGACACCGTTATTTTTGCAGATAGTTTAAACAGTTTAAACAACGACTAATCTATTTAAAGCATGGGTTAATAAAATAATTATAGCCAGAATGATCGTCAATATTCGAAAAGAATAGGCTCCAAAAGGGGAAGAATAAATAAATAAAAGAATTATAATTATAATAAGAAAGACCCTGTTGAATATCCTCGTATAGGAGTCACGTGCGGCGGTCCATAAAGTTCTCAACAAAACAATGCATAATTTCGTTATCACCTGTACTAACTCATTGAAATTCATTGAAGAATAGTCTGACGGTAAATAAATATAAAAGAGAAACAGTACAACCGACACGTTTAGTCGGCTTACTACCTTTACACTGCGATAGATCACGCTCACAGCGCGAATACGCAAACGAACAATCGAACGACGACAGTTCGGGCATCGGCGCCAGTTTTTCATGAAAATCCACAAGTTTTGATTTTGTTTTGTGAGGACTCTGTGAAAATATGTTAACGGGATGGAGGTTGACGATTTCAAAACGTAAGTTTTTGCGACGTTTCTACACATTGTTACTTAGATAGATACATTGGTCGGTTTTCACTTTTCCTTTTTTGGAAAATTGCATCAGGTTATGGGTAAAAGAGTTCCGCATGATTTTCTAAACGGTCGTCGAGGAATTTTATACAACCAGCTTTTTGCATTATTTATGGATTTTTTAAAATACTTGCGGAGATATTGTTCCATTTCTTTCTACAAATATCGATGTTATTATCAGAAAAAGTTCTAAACAACAAAAACAAGTCGTCGTAATGAGGTGATTGGTACAGGATAAAAAATAGGAAATACAAATCCATTATTTTGACAATTAAAGCGAAAATTCTCTTGAGTATTTCTAAAAGGATCGTAAACATGAATTATATAGATCTCTGGCAGATATTTCCTTATTGATTCCTTCTCTCTTACTTTCTCTCAATCTTATTGATCTTGGGGTTGTCATTCTATAACTACTAGAGTCTTAATATTGTATTCTCCTTCATTCGTCTCACGAGGCCTTACCATCAGTTCTATATTTTCTATGACATCTATAATCGAATGTGTGATTCTCAAAATTTCTCAAACCCATTGATTTGAAACTCTTTTTCTAGATATTCCTGTTTATCTAGACCAGAAATCCACTTCGTCGATTGTTTCTTCATTTGTTTCCTGCTAATTTTTACACCTCGCATCCGTCCGTTGAGATAATTTTTATTATAGTATTACACGATCGCTTTTTATTTTCTTTCGAGGTATTCTTGTCTCATAATATGTTATTTACCAGCGAGATGTCTTTTCTTTATTTGATTTTTTTGTCCAGTGTTTCATCCAGTAATTTTTATACTTATTTTCTGACAGCACAGCACCTCATTATTCATTCGAGTCATTCAAAAAATTAAAGCGACTAAAACAATGAGCTTATTTCTAAGGCTGGTTCACATAATTTGACTGAATGGATCTCAATGGTCCAGGAATTATTTTCCTTGTTAAGGATACAAACTAAATAAAAACTAAATAAAAAATAAATTATAAAATAAATTGCGATAAATGCAATAACTTATTTATATGCGGTTTTTTTTAAATCATTCTTCAAAATTGAATACATCAAAAACTCATAGGGATATAGGAAAATATTTTTAGAGAATTATGCCAATCAAATTATCGATGATAATAATTGGTTCTAATAAGCTATCGTCAACTAAGAAATCTAAGTTTTATTACTTTTCATAGCATCACTCTTTACTTGTGCCCATATTAGCTCTGTAGGGTTAATTTGACAATGATGTGGGGGTAAACGAAGTACAGTTATTCCGCGATCTTTAGCTTTTTCATCAACCCCTCTGTGGCTCAGTGGTAAGAGCGCCTGCCTTTAAACCTAAAGGTCGTGAGTTCGAATCCCACCTGGGTGGTAATTAATGAAAATAATTTCTATCCTTGTGTGATCGGTACACACCGGAGGGACCGCAGACGTTCGGATACAATTAGCGTCTCTTAGCAAAGACCATGACGTCGACTTTGCTAAGTATCAAGACAATATTACTCTACACACACAAATACACACACTACATTAATAAACTAATCTTGATTGAGACTGGCTGAATGACAATTGTCCAAAACACACAAAAAAAAAGCTTTTTCATCGATTACATATTTTTTTATATTTATGTTTGTGCTATGGAACGATATTCATGAGTTCTTTTCTAACCATCGTATCATCAAATGTGTATTTGTTTTCTTCTGAAACTATCTGAAAGAAACATTCTTTAAATGCGTCTGCAGTTATTTCTTCATAATAATATTTGGTAGTTTTTATAGTAAATTGTAAACCACTGTTTATAAAGCCAGTTTTAGATCCAATATGAGTAATTATTATTCCATGACCTTTTTCAATAGGTGGATTCAAACCAGAGGAATAACCTTCCATAGAAGTATGTCGCAAATGGGTAATATTTTTATCAACCCAACATTTTGAAATAGTGTGCCCTTTGTTAACCAGGTTTCCTCTAAATAATAAATTGTTTTCCTTCTGGTAGGAAACTTTTAATTATTCTATAAGATATTCCTTTCTCCATCAAACAATATAATCTTTATCAAGAAGTAAAGCTCTTTTGTTACATTTTTTCCACGAAAAACCTATTTCATTAAGACACTTCCACAATTTTGTTCGCCCAAATCATCATCTTTGGCTCGACAATCCTCTGTGGATCTTGGCCTGCTCTAAGGTTCGTCGCCATTCTGTTCGGTTTCTGGCAACATGTTGCCATCTTCTGATTTTTAATATCCGTAAGTCGGTTTCAACTCCATCTAACCACCTAATTTGCGGTCGGCCTTTGCTTCTTCTTCCTACAGGTGTTCCTGTGGTTAGCTTTTTAGCAAATCGTTTTTTCTGGCATTCGTATTATGTGTCCAGCCCATCTAAATCGCTGTGTGATACAATTCAAAATTATATCTTCAGCGCCACTGTCCTTGGTCATTTATAGCTCCAAATATTTTGCGGAGTATTTTACGCTCAAATATTCCCAAAAGTCTTTCATCTTTCTGCGTTAGAGCCCATGTTTCTGCTCCATATGTGAGGACCGGCCTCAGCAATGTTTTGTATATAATAATTTTAGTTCTTCTTTGAATGTTTCTTGAGTGGAAATGCTTTTGGAGTCCATAGTATGCCCTATTTGTAAGATTTATTCGTCTTTTGATTTCTTCGCTTGTTTTATTGGTAGCAGTGAATAGCGACCAAGATATGTGAAGTTGTCAACACGTCCAAAGGTATGACTTCCAAAGACTGTTTCTCGTTCCTCATTTGCTATCGGATCCTTTGTAACCAACATGTACTTGGTTTTGTCTTCGTTGATGACTAGACCTACCTGTTTCGCCGCTGTTTAAAATTCTAGGAGATATTGCTCAACAACTCGCTTGCTACGCCCAATTATGTCAATGTCATGAGCATATGCTAAGACTTCATGAACTACAGTCAATTTAGCTTGACGAAAGCACTTACAAATTGTCATTGACGTAACCGCAGTATCGATCCATTGTAAATAGTACCGCCATCCCTAATTCATGTATCTCGGACTGCCTTTTCTAAGGCAATATTAAATAGGAGGCAAGCCACAGCGTCCCTAGTCTGAGTCCATCGTTTATCTCAAAACATTTAAACGTTTCAAAACGTTTATCTCATCTGTTCTCTTGACACTGTCGTATGCGGCCTTGAAGTCGACGAATAGGTGATGGGTTTCAATATTGAATTCTAATGTTTTTTCGAGAATCTTATTGAATGAATCTGGTCAATTGTTAATTTTTCTGGAGTGAATCCAGCTTGATATTTACCAACTATGCCCACTGTGTAAACTTGCAGCCTTTCGTAGAGAATATTTGCTAGTATTTGTAAGCAGTTGTTAACAGGGTTATATCTCTATAGTTGTCACACTGGAGCTGGTCACCTTTTTTATGTAACGGGCATATCACGCCTTGAGACCATTCACAAGGCATGGTCTCATTATGCCAAACAAGAAGTAAAAGCTTATGCAGTGTCTGTAGTATGGCATCGCCACCTTTCTTGTAGAGTTCACTGCAAATTTGATCAATTCCTGGTGATTTATTATTTTTAAGCTTTTTAATGGCTTGGGCAACGTTTTCGATGGTAGGTGGTCTTTCGTTTGGGTTGAAAGGATTCCAATCATTTCCATTTGCTAGGGTGTATATCTGTGTATGTATATCTTCTCTTCGTCTTCTCTAATACTATTCAAAATAATCTTGTAGGATAAGTATTTATTTATGTAAATAAAAATAATGACCTTTACGACGGACGTATGGCAATTTTAACAAAGTCATCAGTTTCCATTTGTTTCTTGCCGATGGTTTTTTGTATGTCGGCACTTCCCCCAACTCCTTTCACAAATCGATAAATTCATTCATTGATTCATTGATTTTGTGATATGTCATATATAACATTTTGCGGAATCTTAAGCATCTAGCAATCTCCAGCATAATTACACTGGGGTGCAAAGTTAACCAGACCCTCAGATTTTTCCCAAAAAACTGGCGTTTAAAAAAGTTTAAGATGTTCCCAATTGAGTATTTAATAATAAACAAAATTTCAAAGTCACATTTATTACAACTCAAGAATGTTACACAAAAAAAAAACAATAAACAATTCAAAAAATTTGAAAATCTGCAAAGAAACTAATTTTTTTTAATATAAACGTTTTTTACTTTTTTACCGAAAACAATATTTGGTTGAGTCTATTACCTCAACTATTCCTAATTACGTAAATCTTATAAATTCTTGTAAATCTTCTAAAATTTCGCATGTATGACAGTGTCATCGGCGTCACAAATTTTGTTTATACGTGCTTCATTTATTTTATCCAATTGGTTGGTTTTGAATGGCTATCTGCAATATCTCCTTTACATAGCAAAATAATTGTAATTTAGCCGAGAAAACACGAGAAACAACAACAGTGCTCAATAGCATGCAACTGATATTCAAAAAAGGAAGAAACAAAAGGAAAATATACATTAAAAAATGTTTATAATTATTAGTCAATATCAATTAAATAATTTTTTTATTTTTTTTGCAATAAAATTATATTTTTATTAACCATATTTTGTCATATTGTTGTAAACCAAACTGTTTTCACTGTTTTCAAAATTCTGAGCAATGAATAAGCCATCATAGCTAACAATAATCGGTACCTTTTGCTTTAACGAATTTTATTTGGACTTGCACGTTAGTTATTTCACATTTTCATCCATTCACCTTGATCGTTGCTGTAGGCATTTATTCTTAATTATAATTTCTCATGTAATTATCGACATATAATCATCATTCCTTGTTAATTACATTATGCAAACTAAAATTTTTATCTGCGATTGCATTCACATAAAACTGTTATTGAACAAAACCGACATACCATTCACCTATTTGTTTAAGAAAAGTTTACATAAATATATAATACACTGCTGGACACAATATTATATATATATATATATATATATATATATATATA